GCAAGAGTGCTTATTCCGCATTTAACGTCCCCGAGTTCTGCTGTACCGCCGATCATGCCACACCGCAGACTTGCTTCCCGACACAATACTCAGAGATGTTCAAGAATGCGTGCCCGACAGCATATAGTTATGCTTATGATGATGCCTCAAGTACTTGTACTTGCACCTGGTCTGATTACTTGATCATATTTTGTCCAAATGGGTCTGGATGATTTTCCATTAATTATTTTCTGAAGAATATAATATTATTGATAGATTTAATTTTCCTTGTTTGATCTCTAGGACTTGTTGATGAAACTTATTTTCATACAAATATAGTCGAGTACAATTACGTTTGTGTCACAGCTATAACTTATACATAGACATATTAAATCCAGTCATTTGTCACCTTTAGCATTTTTTTATATTATTAATTGTTGTAATTAATTTGTTGAAGGATTATGCTATTAGTATTATAGTTTTTTTGTGTTCTAAAATGTTTTCAACATTTATTTATTTTTAGTGAAAATAAATTCATGATTCTGAAATTTTAGATTCATGTAAGATTTTTTATTTGAATTTTAACCACTTAAAAGTTTATATTCTCCGTTGTTAATTAGTCTTTCCATTCAAATTTATCTTTATTAACACTTTTCATTTCAAGAAAACAACGGTTGAGAATCATCTAATACATGACCAAGTTGTAAGAGTTTAGAATAAAGAGGTTTTCTTTTCCTATAGTATCAGTTTCAAGTCTTATGATTGCTAATATAATAATCACTGAAAATTTACATGGTCGTTTACTTAAGAATCTGTGGAATTAATCAAGATGTATATAAGTTGGTCTGAATATCTATATTAATTTTTTTTTTTTTAAAATGTTTGGATTGTGCCGTATATATAAGATATACTTATAAAAAAATAAGAGCACCTAGATAGTCCACATGGATTGACAACAACTAAATAAAGATTAGTTATACCAAATTAATATTGTGATGGTGATTGCTTTTAAAATGTTTTTATCTAAAAATATATCAAAATAATTTATCATCTAAAAACACTCAAAAACATGAATTTAAGTAAAAAAAAAAATTCAAATTTTGCAGAAATATTTTTCAAGAAAGAATGTGTTACAGCTATGCAGTTTTGAAACAAGAACAGCAGCCATAAGACCCCCCTGAGGCTTGCAGCAATTGATGCAGGTTATCAGTATCTGCTTTTTTTGGCTCCGAAATTGAAAAAATCTAGAATTATGGAGTGGCATGAAGCTTCTGCTTTAATGGCTACAAGCACCGCGAGTTGAAAGGGTTCCAGTTGATTGAAAAAACATTTTTCACCTGGCACGTGAACATTTGGACCCCGCTGAGCACAGATTTGAGAAGCTGAAAATAACCAGTCACAAGCAAGCAAGATTTTAACGAGAGAATAGGAAAGGAAATAGACAAGGAGAATCGAGAAAACACAAGGCTTTTCTTTTTAAGGCCTTCGGCCGAACCGCTGATCACACAGCAAAGTTTTGTACTTTTTCTTTTTTTTTTTCCTTCTTGTTTTCTTTCTTCATACATTTCCAATACTCTCTACATGCGGCTTTCCTTTTTGAAAGCCAATCCCCGCCCAATTTCCTTAAACGAGGGTGAAGCCCACGAACAATCTACATCTAGGGCACGTGCACTGCGTGCCACCTATCCTACAATTGAGCCCTGGAAAAATTACAACCCAAAATTAGGAAAAAATTTAAGGGGAAAGAGATCTACAGATGCCTATATTTTACAGACATTCCTCCGGACGAAGTATTACTCGAAAACAAACTACTCCGCAGACGATTAAACCATGAGACTCTCATCTCACCAGAGCCCGTGCACTGAACGTCACCTTCGTCCTCGCTGCTAAAGAGGGTTTGGTCCGAGCAGTCAAGTGATGCTCCACAAGCTGAATTATAGGACTGGCATGCTGAATGGCATACCCGGAGCCTGTTGTCACCATCCTTGTCACACTTTTGGATAGAGATCTGCTCATGTAGGTGGGACAGATTTTAGACCATACAATATATAAATCATCATCAAGCACGACACAACTATTAAAAAACTAATGGGAGACTCCTGGAAAGAAGTGTGAGGACCCTACCCAGCATGCTAGTCGCTTGGCAGCTGCGTCGCAATAGCTGCTGCCAAAGATATTAAATAACTTCCGGGAAAAAACCTTCCGGGCCCCACCTGGGAACAAACGGTGATAGTTGGGCATGACAACAACTTCTTCTACCTGCTGAAGTATACT